GTATTATGTAAAAATATTTTTCTTTAAAAAATAATTTGTACACTCAAACTTTGCATTGGCAATATGATAAATAAGGAAATTCCAGCATTTTTCTTAGCTTTTTTTTATTTTTAGTAGTAATTCTTTTTTCAGAACCAACACTATAAAAAGGCAAAACATTCAAACAAAAAAAAAAGTATAGAATCTTGATATACACAGGGTTTCTTCTTCTTCTCTTCTTCTTCGTCTTTTTTTTTTTTATTATTATTATTATATATAAGTGTGTACAACATTGCCCTCTCCATGTTTGTTTACCCAATTGATTCAAATTGTCAAGAAATTCCATTTTTGCTCTGTATTTCAGTGAAACACTACTAGAACACTTACTCTGATATTGAATTTTGGTCACTGATTTTACCAGTCCTCATTTTGTTTATTACTTTATCATGTGCTTTGAATAGTTTATGATTGATTTCCTTACAGGTCTAGCCTAACTTGGATAAGTTTGTAACTTCAAAGTCTTTTAACAGTAAGGAGTTAATGGTATTTTTAGATAGATTTGTTAAAACTGAAATAATGAAAATAATTTTGACAAAACTTTGAAAACTAATAAGTTAATAATCTAGAAAGTAGCAATAAGTAGGCACACAATATTAGAACAAGTTGTCACAGTATGCTGACTAAAGAATACATAAAGGTTGAGGTATTGTACACTACATTTAATAAAAGTAGTTATTTGTAGTGTAACATAATCTGTTAGATTAGAGAATTCAATGAAGTATTAAATATAGGGGAAAATTATCATTTTGTGATTATTTTTTTTATATAAAAATACTTCACAAAAATGTATTAAAGCAGTTTCTCATGCATCAATCGGATCAGGTTAATACCACCATATTTTCCTGCTTAGCACATTCAAGTCTGGGCTGTGCACATAATTACTAAATCATGTTAACTCATTGATTTATAAAACCATTCCTCAGTATGATAATGTATTCACACTTAGCTTGACTTTCAAGTTTTCTCCACTGGCAAACTTCTGTTTCTTTTAGTAAAGTCTTTATTTTTTTGCAACATTGTTAAGGTGTTTTAATTATATCATTTTCTGTTAGACTGTCATAATTCCTTTCAAATATTTTCTGATTCCATGTGGAGCCTTCTAATATGGACTATTTTTTCTTCAGACCACACTTTTGTTAAAGAAACTACTTCTCTGTCCATCCAAACTGCTGCCATTTTTTGAATTGGAAATGAGCATCTGCATTACTTTATTGTTATGTTTTTATTTATTTGTATATGTGTATGAAACTTTGTAACATTTCTTCCCGTGGACGTGGCTACAACGAAAGCAGTATTTAATGATACCACATATACAGATCCTTTTCATAGTAATCTACCTTGAATCATTATATATATATCCACCAAGCTAAATTTTTATGTGGGATTGCTTCCTGTACCCTCCAAGTAATAAATGTAATGTACATTACTTTATAGTGAATCTGCACTAGATGGATAAAGAAAGTTTTGTTTGTGTAAATCTGACTGCTAAGCAACTTTGAATAAACACAATTCTTGTCGTTAAACAATGGTGCTAAATTGTTTGTTAAAGCCCAAAAAATCAAAAATTCACTTTAAGTAATGACTAAAAAACCAGAAGTTGTTATTCTATGATATAGAAAACATAATTAGACTATAAACAAATTGTTGTTTCATAATGTGGAGAACATAAACATTTTTAAGCAGTATTTGTTTGTTACTGAAAAGTACTGTTAAAATCTGTGTAGAAATAAGATGAACTAATGTTGTTGTGATATGTGACAGTGTTAAATGGAATTTTTTGTTTTCCATTATCACAATATCTATTAAAATGTATTTGTTTGCAACTGCTATATGGTAATAGGTGTTGTTATATTTAAATATTTATTTATGTCATATGTTTATAGTGGTCTGGATCTGAAGGAGATACATAGGACAGAGAGAATAATTTAATGTCGAAATTTTGTTTCCATATAAAGTGAATACACCTCTTTAATCAATGTTTAATACAATTACTTCAGTCAAACAAAATTAACAGGTGAGTTGATCTTAGTTTGATACAGTCAAAAGTAACTTGTAATACAGGGCCTGTAATAGTGTCTGTACCAATTCACCACAAAATTAAAAGATATGAGGGAAAAGCCAATATGCACAATCATAAGAAAATCATTATATTATCAACTTTAAAACATTCCAAATGGTCACAATCAGCTTTCCATTTTTCAATTTTACTAACAACACATATTCAAACTTGCATTGTTAAAAAATGTGTTGTAAGCTGATATGACTAGCTCAACTTGGTAGCATAATTTTTAATGGAGACTTCCTAAAGTATTTACTAACAAGAAAGAATTTTATGGCAACATTCAAGTTTAGATTTATACTTAGAAAGGTTATTGAAAACTTCACAGTTTGAAGTCTGTATAATTAGACACACTAAACATTATATACTACAGGATTAATAGCTTTTATTAAGTAACATTTTAAGAAATTTAAATATTTGGTTTGTATGTTGTTTAGAGGGTACTGTCTGAAACAGATAATGCATTATTTCTTATGTTAATCTGACAAAATAAATATACAAAAGTATGTTCATGATATATGATAAGAACTTTCTGATAAGTGCCTCCTCCTCCTCCTTACAAACTCCTCTTTCTTGGTGGTGTTCTGTGCGATTACCCTGGTTATGAACTATCGCTCTGCTGCACAGCCTCCACTGCAGGAACCTTTTGTGCGATATGCTTAGGTCAGTGTTATCCACACCCTTCTTTTTACATGCTTTCCAAAGTCCATTAGCTGTGTTCAGTTGATTAATTTTGGCATTCAGTTGAATAACCCAAAGACACAAAAGCTCATGGGAAATGGCCATGAATGATATAGCACATATTCATGTTTGCAATTATTGGAGTCATTGGCATGTCGACGGATAAATGGCAAACTACTTGTCTTGATGGAGCAAAACCTTACTTGGTGTCCAGTTTGTGCAAAGGTATTTCCTCATTGTATACTGGTGTCAGCGCTTTAACTTAGTATAATTAATTTACCAGACATCTTTCTGAATCTTTAACATACTTTTATAGACTTTTACCTGCAACCACAATAAACCCCTACAAAAAAGATGAGACACGCTCTGTAGTATTTGTGAAATGTTGCATCACTAGTAAGACGATAATAAACTGTCTGAACTTTTACAGACGCTTTTACTTTCAATATTAGGTACCATTCATAGCTGGTGTTTCATTAACATCCTTCAGGGTTCGATCCTCTGCAGTGGAGATAGCCCTTTGTGTAGGTATGTATTTTCGGAGAAGTTTGTGAGCATGGTTTTTTGACATCTAAATCCGGGTGGACTATTTTCTTTACAGTTTCGGGAGGGTCTACTTTAGATGCAATAAACGACTGTGTTCTTGGGTTATTTTCATTTTTCTTCCTTCACTAATTCCAGTGTGTAACTTATTACTAATCATGGAGTAACCGTTTTTTTTCCTACAGTTTATCAATGTACCGATAAGGTTCATTGTTATACAGATATTCCCTTTGTTCAAAATGATAACAGTTTGTGTTGCATTCTTTTATATTTGCAAATTCTAAGAACTTTGCGTTGGAAAGTCCGTTAATCTTTAGAGGAGTCAGTTTTAGGTACTATCTGCATTTGAAAGTCACCACCTTTCAGTTGAACTGTAACAATACGGTCAAGGATTTAACACTTGTAATAAGGTACAAGGGGTTTAGACATGTAAAATGTTACTATAAATTAATATTGATTTTCTTAAAAGGCCTCTACTGTATCTAAACCAAGCTTCAGTTGTTTTTCTTTGTTTTATTTTTTTAAAGAATACACTATTGACTATTTTCATTATTACAAGAATAGAGGAATGTTTTTTTACAATTTAGAAAAGTTCCTTTAACCCCTTTTTTTGACATGAATAAACTTTAATTAGCACTATATAATGTAACTTCACAATGAACAATTTTGCGT